GAGGACGAGGACGAGGACGAGGACGAGGACGAGGACGAGGACGAGGACGAGGACGAGGACGAGGACGAGGATGAGGACGAGGACGAGGACGAGGACGAGGACGAGGACGAGGACGAGGGCGAGGTGATGATAAGGAAGATGAAGTTGGTAGCTGTTGTCAAGGAGAACCAATTGCAGGCGCCTACCAATCATCCTGCTCACCAGCGACGTGCCACTTTACACACTCATGTTTCCTGTTCCCCACCGACACGGTGCCACGCAAGCGCACTTTCCAGCACCAAATCGCATTGCGCAGGGACATCATAGACGTAGTTTCGCCGCGCTGTGCGGGACGGATCAGGTGTAACCATGTGGCCTCAAGCCCCATTGACACCACAAAGCATCCCTCTCACCTGCAGCGGGCACGCCGCGCTTACACACACACACACACACACTTGAGATATTGTGTACGGAACTGAATGCGGTGCCACACGCCGGCCTAGGGTTCCATTTCCTAAGAATACCAGTAGGAAGCCATCGAATCCTGGAGGTCTTAAAAGGAAAGGAGGCCCAAAGCACAAGGTCGAGATCGGCGATCAGGTCGAAGTGACGACGTTCCGTGCATGTCTGCAGAAGGTCAAGCTCAACTCAGCAAATCTTAAAAATTAAGCAGGTACGTCAGAGTGGCCAACTCTAATTTCACCAGATCAAATGGGCGTCTTCGTTGGTAGCGGTCCCAAGTGATCTGCCGCTACCCCCTGCGATAAAACAAGTTAAAATCCAAAAGGATCCGTATGACTCCAAGGGTTACACACACACGCCTCCCCGAAGGGAGGCAAGATTTTAAGCTTGAAAAACTAAGGCTCCCACAGGTCCCAATGGACCTCCCCTGCGATAAAACAAGTTAAAATCCAAAAGGATCCCTATGACTCCAAGGGTTACACACACACGCCTCCCCGAAGGGAGGCAAGATTTTAAGCTTGAAAAACTAAGGCTCCCACAGGTCCCAATGGACCTTGAACAAACTTCGGCCGCTGCGGCCACGTACGCCGTGCCAACTTGGCTGGCTGCTTTGACCGCTGCGGTCACGTAAAGGCATGAGCCAACTTGGAATTCCAAAGATGGGACAAAATCATCGGACGTACGGCCTAGGCCACCTGCTGTCCGCTCCGGACACCTACCTCTCCAAAGCAAGGGAGAGAAAGACACACACCCGTTCGACGGGTCCACGGGAGGCACTCTGCGGGCTCATCCCGGGTTGGCGCGAAGCCAAACACACTTGAGATATTGTGTACGGAACTGAATGCGGTGCCACACGCCGGCCTAGGGTTCCATTTCCTAAGAATACCAGTAGGAAGCCATTGAATCCTGGAGGTCTTAAAAGGAAAGGAGGCCCAAAGCACAAGGTCGAGATCGGCGATCAGGTCGAAGTGACGACGTTCCGTGCATGTCTGCAGAAGGTCAAGCTCAACTCAGCAAATCTTAAAAATTAAGCAGGTACGTCAGAGTGGCCAACTCTGATTTCACCAGATCAAATGGGCGTCTTCGTTGGTAGCGGTCCCAAGTGATCTGCCGCTACCCCCTGCGATAAAACAAGTTAAAATCCAAAAGGATCCCTATGACTCCAAGGGTTACACACACACACACTTTGTCACAGGGTTTGCAGTTTCCACAATCCACAGTGAAATGAATGAGGGAACGGAAAGGCGCAAAATCCCCTGAACAGAAATGTTTAACAATGCTGACGCGTTAGCGCTTTACTGAATACTTGGCAGACAAAAAAGGGGAGATTTAGGGGAAAAACGTTAGAACCACCATGAGAAGCAAACCAAAAGGAGAACAGCTTGCGCAACAGTTCAGCAGGTACGTTTGCAGCCAGTGGCCTCTTCGTTGGCCATCCGCCACTGGGCCCCCTCCTTTATGAAGTAAACCGGAAACATTGGAACCTCTTGGAAACAGAGTGTGACGCACACACTTTGGCCGCTTCGCGGCGCTCAAATGGCAGTTCTTCGGCGTGGAAACAGAGTGTGTGACACACACACACATGGCCGCCTTGCGGCGCGAAACCTCAATAGATACCTAAAGAACCCTCCTTCAAATTTAGCCTAAATGAAAATTAGACCAACCCAGGATGCCATAAAGAACGCGACCCAGACGAACAACCACCCTGATTTGCTTCAACTGGAACATGGGCGTTTGCAGGTTGAAATGTCAGGGGGTCAGTGTCTGATTCTTTAGTGAAGCGCTTTGGACTGGCCAACGCAGGCGAGTGCTCGAGATGCAGCTCCTGTTCACATTTCTTCAATAGGTTTCAATAGCAGATATTATGTGCTCCACTGGGCTGTGTTCGCCGCTGTTCGCCAAAACAAATATATTACAAATAATAATTACGCACACATAATGTACTTGGAAGACTTGAAGGTTTTCTGAAACAACATCTAAAAGACTTGCCATCTTTATCTGCAAGCGTGAGAGCATCTGCAACACCCAAGTAGAAAGCATCTGCTCCAACAAGCTCTGCGTACTCTCCAATCTTCTTCTCCGCAAAGTCATTTGGGAATCCTCCTGGTTGGCCAGCTGGGCTTTTCTAAAACATTGAAACCCATCCAAAAGTAGAGGTGGTAGGCGCAAAAGAATTGTTCGGGCCTATACTTTCAAAAGCTCAATGAGCTGGATCAATTTTTAAGGGTGCCAAAGGCCTTCAGTAAAGGGTCCACAGCCGCTCGACCTCTAAAGAATCAGAAACTTAACCTGGAACACGTCCCAGATTCCTGGAAAAACCTTGAAAACAATTGAGCACATATTTCATCATCTTTCAACCAACATCTTTCTATGATTTTCTATATGGTTACGTATGGCCTCTAGTTCCCTTCCTTTGTGAGCCACTGTTTCCAATAAATTGCAATAGGTATACTCAATTCTGTAGGGACTCTATGTTATATTAACCTACATCAAACCATGACAAAAATCACAAAACAGCCTCTAAAGAATCAGAAAAACAACAAAGCACCGGTATATATCGACGTTCCCTGATTCTTTAGGTTCTTGTTATTGTGTATATATATATATATATATATATATTTTTTTGTTTTTCACTATTATTGTCTATTGATCCCCCTGTCCATTCTGCAGGGGGGGTCCTGAGTGTCATTTTAAAGATAGGAAATTAATGGTGGTCCCAACCCACTGCGTAGCCTAAATTGAAGAGCCTGAGGTTTAGGGTTGCTTGAGGGAAGTTGCTTGGGGACCATGGCAAGTCTTTGTCACATTCTTTAATTTGATGACGATGTTTTTTTGAGGTTGAGCAGGTCTGATTCTTTAGTGCTTGTACTTCTAAACTCATTGTTTAGAGGGTTGTTTTCTAATGGATGCTGATTCTTTAGAGTAACAGGTTGGCAGAGAGTGGGAGCCCTAAAGGATAAGGACGTCCATGTGAAAGGTTGAATTCGCGCAGGGATCTTAAAGAGCCTTAGAAAAGAAAGAAAGACAGAAAGAGCAAAGCGAAAAGGGCAAGAAAGAAAGATAGGTGCAAAAGGCCATGCGTGTCTGCCGAACGAAGGGCAAATTACCGAGTTAAAACCTGAATAGCCTAACAAGCCTTAGAAAGGAAAGAACACAGAAAGAGAAAACGAAGAGGGCAAGAGAGAAAGGTAGGTGTAAAAGGCCATGCATGTCTGCCGAACGAGCGGCAAATTGCGCCTTTCCGTTCCCACTGTGGATTATGGAAACTGCAAACCCTGTGACAAAGTGTGTATCGCTGTGTCTTCCCACTGGGTACACAGTGTGATCCTCTCGCAAAGAGGCGCCGCAGCCATTCGTGTATCCCAAATTGGTTCAGCGTCTTGAGTTCGTGGATTATGTTTTGGTTTGTTTTGTTTCACCCATGAATCAACTGAACTACATGCCGCCGGCCTCGCGGACTAAATGCCGCCGGGCTTACGGAGAATGAACACCCCTTGTTTTTTCGCTTTACTTCTAGCTCTATTTTAGGGTAACAGAAGGAAATGATACTCGACACACTTGTGTGTCGGCGCCTTTCCTTCTGTTGTCCCTGTTCTAGTCTACTCTACCCAGGCGGTCTAAGACTAAAGTCCCGCTCCCTAACTATTGGGGATTGTGCGTTTGCGTGGCTCCTCGTAATTGGGGAAGGGAAAACATGTGTGTGTGTGTGTCAACCCTGTACCTAAGGGTTCCGATGTACAGTGATTCCAAGCAGGGGGCCGGAGCCAGGTCAGGGGTCTCCGGCCAATGAAGTCGCCCCCCACCTGGGTGAAAATTTACCTGCGTTTTTCCAATTTAATTTTTAATCAAGCTCTAAAGTGCTAATGCAAGATGAAAACAATGTTGAAACATCTCCAATTTTCCGGACTCCATCGCCTTTCCATTCTGCATTTTTGAGTCAAGGTCTAGTTGCACTAAAGGGAAACTTTTGTTAAACTATACTGTTCTCGCTGACCCATGCGCCTTTCTGTTCCCTCACCTTCCTTCTCAACGTGGGAACTGAGTTAACTGCAAACCAATGTCAGAGTGTGAACCGCTCAGCCGTCCCACTCGGGTGCTGGGTGTGATCCCCGTGAAAGGGGCGCTGCAACCATGCCGGAACTCATCCCTCCCTTTTATAACTGAATCTTTCCACTGACTCACCTGGTTCCACTTCCATAACTGAATTCGCTGACCAAAAAGCCGCCGGGCTTTCACGGTGAACAACCACGGCCGCCAGGCCAAAAAACGGAATTCCACTTGCGGTCAGGCATGTTTCCCTTCCCCGCCCCCCGCCGAGTTCTACTCCCCGCCTAATTAGGGCAACGCAGGGAAATGGTACTTGACACACTTGTGTGTCGGTGCCTTTCCCTTTGTTGTTCCTGTTCTAGTCTTCTCTACCCGGGCGGTCTAAGACTAAAGTCCCGCTCCCTAACTATTGCATTTAATTCGCCTCGGCTAAGTAATCAGTAACTCTAGAGTGCTAAGTAGTCATACACACACACACGGACACACACACATACTACATACACCCCCTCCCTGCCCCCCCCTTTCTTTCTTACGCTTTCGGTCGTTTCTTGGGCTTTCTCTCTGGCTTTTTAGTTGTTCTTGAGGCTTGTTTCCCTGCCCCAGTCAAGGGCTAAGTATTCACCTTTTTTCTACACCTATCTTTCTCTCTTGCCCTCTTAGCGCTGCTCTTTCTGTGTTTCTTTCTTTTGTTTCTAAGGCTTTTTAGGTGCCTATTCCGGTCCTTCGCACGAGCGCCGCAAAGCGGCGCCGTGTGTGTGTCAACCCCTGTACCTAAGGGTTCCGATGTACAGTGATTCCAAGCAGGGGGCCGGAGCCAGGTGGGGGGTCTCCGGCCAATGAAGACGCCCCCCACCTGGGTGAATCAAGCTCTAAAGTGCTAACGCAAGATGAAAACAATGTTGAAACATTTCCAATTTTCCGGACTCCATCGCCTTTCCGTTCTGCATTTTTGAGTCAAGGTCTAGTTGCACTAAAGGGAAACTTTTGTTAAACTATACTGTTCTCGCTGACCCATGCGCCTTTCTGTTCCCTCACCTTCCTTCTCAACGTGGGAACTGAGTTAACTGCAAACCAATGTCAGAGTGTGTGTTCCACACTCTGTTTCCAAGAGTTTCCAATGTTTCCGGTTTGCTTCACACAGCAGGGGGCCATCCCCCTCCCCAGTGGCGGATGGCCAACGAAGAGGCCACTGGGGGGGGAGGGCTGCAAACGTACCTGCTGAACTGTTGTGCAACCTGTTCTCCTTTTGGTTTGCTTCTGAAGCGGCGTTTAAAATGCAACCACCTCACTGTGACTTTTTTGAGCCTGAACAACATAAGAAATCATAAGAATACTGCAGGGCCCAAGGTTGGCCACTACCGTTTGTGGCTTTTCTTGAAGGCATTCCTGTCACTGTCACTAGACCCCCCAACAGGCCAAACTTCTCCAAGCGAGGGGCGCGGCGACGAGTGCGCCAGGATGGCGCTGGGCCTGACGCAGCTTGTTTTGGTGAAACTTGTGACTGAGGGTCAGGAGATCCTGGCACCTAACCACGCTTCAAGACGGGACAATGTTTTGAAGCGTGGCTGGAAATTTTTTGTGCTTTTAAGTGCGCGTCCTTTTCTTCTATACCCTTTGATAGCCTGGGTGAAGCTTAACTTAAGGTCTTTCAAACACATTCCCAGGGGCGGCGCCCAATTTAAAATTTTTAGAACTAGTAATTGTATCTGTTGAAATAACAATTTTAGAGAGATAGAGAGAGAGTGAGCGTAGCTGAAACATTTTGAGCAGGTCAGGGTCACAGTTTCTTCTGGAGGGGGCAAGGTTGAGGCGAGTTCGGCGTCCACAGAGGGTGGGGCTGTTGGGAGCTGATGCGACCCCCGCACTATATTCGCACTACAAAGTTGCTACTTAAAAGGAACCCCCCGCATTACATGAGTATTACAGAGTTGCCAGCAACTCTGGCAGGCTACTCCCCGTACCGCACTGTACCACAAAGTTGCCAGTGTGTGAGGCTGGTTAGGTTGTGCTACAAAGCTGCCAGTTCCGAGCCTCGAACTCAAAGAAACCGCTTCCCATGCTGCATGGCGTCTAAAGAATGTCGAAACAGGAGGTGTTTTGTAGAGGTATTTTACAAGTACATCTACCCACCTACGCATCCTACATCTAATACGCCTCCTGCATCTTTACACTTACACCAATACATCTACGGTTGTACACCTACATCTATCCACCTGGATCTATCCGCCTACATGTATACCCTGCGTACGCTATATCTAGACACGCAGAGCTGTCCAATAGATGCACGCCTACATCTGTGCACGTGTGCATCTATGCATGTACATCTGGGATATCTGCGCGTAGTCTTAACACGGGATGATGGTGGCGTGATGATGAAGACATCATGATGAAGGTGATGATAGAGAAAATGAAACTGGTATATAGCTGGTCTTGAAGGAGAACCCGTCACAGGTGTTTTCCAGAATGTATATACATATATATATATATACACCTATAAGTTGAGAAAGCGATGGCAAACGCTTGCAACAAATTTCCTTCAGAAATGGTTTCAGCCAGGCAACATGTGGAGGAGGACAAAAAGAACGGTCCAGACGAATTCTACAAGAATCCGCCAATGGGGGAGAGCTCAATCCTGAGAAGAGTGATTATTTCTTCAGCCTCACTCGAAGACCCGAACACATTTTTAATGTGTTTCTTCTGTCTACTTGCCGCGGTTTAAATTCACCAACGGCTGCTTAGCGAAGGCCTTGTAGCGACTTTCTGGCTGAAATAGAGTCCTGTGGTGAGCCGGACACTGAGCAAAAAAATGGGACCATCAAGAGCTTCACAGAACCATTGCTCATCCAGTTTATCCTTGAAAACTTGTTCAATCTTTCCTTTCTGCAGGGAACATTGCCCTGAATCTGGCTGTCATGACTGTCTCTGGAGTGTCAGGATCTTACTATGCGCTGCGTATTAATATGACTTCAAGCAGGTGGCCCAAGCCGAGGAATGGACGCACTGGGGCAGCTGCTCCAAGTGTGGAGGGCAAAGGCCGTTACCGGTACTTCTTCAGACTTGCTTAGCTTCACGTGGTGTGTTTTGAGCAACCAAGCAGTCCCCGCCCACAGGTTTCGGTACCGCAACATTCTGCAAATGCCAAACTACTGCGGCAAGCTCTAGCCTGAGAAAACGGAAACAAAAAACAACCTTTCGGGTTTTCCGAAGATTCTGAGGCGATGTGAACCAACGGACGCAAAAGAAGCCGGACCTTGCGAAAGCAAATGCGCCAACCAGCCATGTTTGAGTCAAAGGTTGCCGTGGCTTCTCACTTGGTTGAGGTGACTTGCTTGTATCAAAGGTGAGCGGAACTTATTCTATTTATTCATTGCGTGTAGAAAAAAACATATTGTTTGTTTGGAGCAACCAGGATGAAGAGGTCTACTGCAGTTGGACGGAATGGTCTAAGATTGGGAGCCCAGAACTTCGGGCATGTGCCATGAAAGCATGACACTCTTGTTCCCACCCGGAAAGTTTTGGTATTGCTGTAGATTTCACAGAAGTGTTCTGACCACTGCCGTGAGACCCCACATATCCCCTCGACCAAGCATCCGACTAAGCGTCATGACATCAATGAGCTACCACAGTGACAACTAATTACAATGACGAATGACAATGAGAACAGCAACAGGAAAGACGACCACGACCAATGATAGGCAACAGTTAACATATCAAAGTGGCAGGAACAATGACGGACAAGACTTTACGAGACATCAATAGCAAACAATCTGCAAACAAGAGTTGGAGCAAGCTACACTGACGGCGTACGTGACAAAGCAGCAATTGCACCGCCAAGTCAAAATGAGAAAAGCTACAACCACTACGGACATAATCACAGCACCAATGCTAAGGCTGCCAAGACATGCGCTACCTCGTAACGTTCTAGTACTTTACTACTATATACTACTACTACTACTACTACTACTTCTACTACTACTACTACTACTACTACTACTAACTACTACTAACTACTACTAACTACTACTAACTACTACTACTACTACTACTACTACTACTACTACTACTACTACTAC